ACCCTCACCCTATCAGGTCATTCTCTGAAAAAGGTAGATAAGTTTGTTCATCTTGGAAACTGCATCAACACTAACAGACTGTATCTATGTATCAGTAAGAGTCTAAGGAATCATCATCATTATGAACAGTAGTAAAGCAGCCATGTGAACTGATGCCTCGCTACAGTACAACCGTGGAGAACAACGGAACGAAGAACAATAAGAGGAAGAGAGTGGCCTAGGGTAAAACCTTAGTGCACTAAGGGTGCCTACACTCGGCCGGTGGCCGAGTGGTCTGCACGTTTGTTTTGCTACCATGAGGTCACCGGTTCGAATCCGCGTAGGGGTGGGCGTCCTCGCGGTGTACACAGCCCGCGCGCGACTGGTGGTGGTCGCGCGGCAGCGAAGCGCCGTTACGGCGTACGGCTGACACATTATTAGTATATTATTAAGGTGCCTACAACTTATCAACAATATATCCTCACAAATAGCTGGCTATCATGCAAAAATAAGCCGGCATCGGCGACAGCTCCATTGCGGCCTTCACTGCCCCGCGTCATAATCAGCCATTACTCCGCAGACAACGCAGCACCAAACACAATTTAAAGAGGCAATCCGACTAGAAGAGAGCAGACGCGCCACTGGTGTCGATTCCGAGCCATGTCCTGTAAAGTCTCGAGCCAAGTACAAAGCAGGTCACGTGGACTCCAGCATGGAAGACGAGACGGATCGACGGCACCCACTTCGGTCGGAGGTGACGTTATTTCTCGCTGCCAAGTCAACTTTTGTTCACCTCGCGTCTTGCGACACCGTAATCTGGTAAAGAAAACAAGGCACTTCTCGATAAGCGGTGACCGGACACACTTGTACGTGCGCAAACCAACGCAACTTATTCAGTGCCATCAGTTGTTCTAAGGGACTAGCCTGGTTATCACTGCCTAGTGCTCGCTTACGAACATCATCGTTGCGGACACGCTGGTGCCATCCGACAGTAGCAGTGCTTCAAAGACAACGATAATCAAAGACTTGAAGACCCCGGAGGTCATCAGACCGAATGGGCCAAGTCTTACTCCCATAGAGTAGGACGGCCCTCACTGCGGCCTTGTATATACGTAGGGATACCCCTTTCTGTCGCCACAGAAGTCGTTGATTCAAAATGACAGTTCTAGCTTTTGCAATAAGTGAAGTGACATTAGTGCTTACGTGCTCATCGTTGCTGATACAGTTGCCAAGGTAGGTGGATCGATCAACCACCTCGAGTTCGCCGTTATCAAGGGTCAATCGGTCGTCAAGTGGCTGGTGGTCCTGCAGCAACACTGTACTTTGAAGGTGCGAAGCGTATGCCAAAAAATGGGATCGCTCTAGTGAGGCTATTCAAGGTTGACTGCGCTGCCCCAACATCGTTAAACAACAAGACGATATCGTCCGCATAGTCAAAATCAACTAGCCCTCCACCAGGCAGCACATAAACACCAGCAACGTAAGATTCCGCAAAGGAACACTCCATAATGCAGTCCACGAGGAAGTTGAACAAAAATGGAGAAATGGACAACTCTGACGAACACCTCGTTGTCGGAAAGCTATACGAAAGGTCACCGTAGACCTTGACGCGGCCTATCGTATTCGAGTATAGAGCAGGCAAAATGTTCGTATATTTCATGGGAACATCTTTCCGCGCAAGTAGTTCGAATTGAATGCATCGATCGACAGGGTCAACCGCACTCCTGAAGTGGAGGAACACAGCCATTGTCGGTCTGTGGTACGCGTGGCGCAGCTCTAGCACCTGTCGTAGAGTGAATACGTGGTCTACACAGCCCCGATTTGGGCGGAAGCCTGCTTGCTCATTCCTAATCTGAGATTCGCGCTCCGCAGTGAGGCGATGAACGGAAATTGAGGCCAGTAATTTTGTCAGCACCTGCATTGGGATAATACCCAGTGGTTAGCACAGTCTGTGCGACTGCCCTTCTTGTATATCGCCAATATAATGGATTCACTCTAGTTAGTTTGGATAACCTTTGTCTACCAGACCTGTTCGAACCGGGAGGTTAGTGGGGAGAAACTGGGTGTTGCTAGCCCGAAAACATTGCACTCCTATGAGGCGTTTCGATGTTGTTTCCTCTCATCTGATAGAGATAGCAGGTGTCGAACCTGGGAGGTCAATGCTTTGCACAGAGCCTCACCTCTATCTTTAAATAGTGCAAGTGGTAGGGAATCCGGGCCAGCAACCCGAAAACGATTAAGGGATGCGATTGCGTTTCGGACCTCAGCCTCGGACGCAGTCTTTAACTGGCCATTGCCCCATCGGCAACACTTGAGTAAGAAGAGGTCCAGAAGCAGGGGGACAATTTAACTGTAAGCGACGAGCCATCCGGCGCTCCTTGTTGTGAATGATGACACCCACACTGTCTCTGATTGTCTCGCTGACGACTGGTTTTCTGGGATCATTGGTGCGGTTCACCTGGAAGAACTTGAGATAATAGCCTACTACTCCTGACTCCTCCATTTCTTGAGTCCTACTAGTCCATCAGGCTTTCTTGTCAACACGCAAGCTCCGCTTTAGTTCGCGCCTAACTATCCGCCTAGTTACATTGTGCTCAGAGCCAGCCGGGAGCTTTCTGCTGAATTCCATGTTCACCGACTTCTCGGATATCCAGTAACTGATAGTGCCGCAAGCGGAGGTAAAAGTTCAGTACGCAGAGCATCCTGGTAGGCTAACCAGACCGAGAGCTGAGACAACTTCTCAGTTGCTAATAAAGGGAGACGTTTGGTACGCCTCCGGATAAAGATTATGGAAAATGACAGACTATCAAGGCAAGATCCGAATCAATGCAGGTACTCCAGAAAGAGCGACAATCAACGATGGAACTACGCTACTTGTAACTTATGGCATCGTGATCAATTTGGGTCCAACGCTCGTCAGCTATAGGTAGACGACAAGTGACACTTCGGTGCCCTCTGGGTTTAAAAGCGGTGCTACTAAGAAACAGCCGGTGCTCCGTACACAGCTGTAACAGCCGCTAACCGTTGTCCGTACTGTCGGACTTAAGTCCATACGGCTCACCTAACTGAGCTTCTGAAGAGCTCAGACAACCTAGTTGCGCATTCATATCCCTTGCAAGAACTATGGTATCTGAAGTGGTAACACTGTGTAGTAGCGCATACATTTCATGATAGAAGACGTCCGTGGCAGCATCAGAACTGCAGTCGGTGGGAGCATAGGCAGAAAGCACAAGCAAATAGACATGGAGCTGAACAAAACCATGGCAATCACTGGAATAAGACACGTTTACTCACTACAACATCATCAGGACACACTAGCTGAAGGTGAGCAACACCAGCTACTGTGCCGCAAGAAGAATGGGATACATTTTTCCACACGACATTTTGTATGTTTTTGCTTTTTCAATTAGTAAGCATTAATCATCTGGATCTAATCAAGTATGCACATAGATCTTCCACCGGTTCCGACTGGGCGCCACCTCGCGAACTGTTTCCAGCCATCAGCACTCTTCGCCCTTTGCCCCCCAACCAGGCAGGCGTGTGGATCCGACGGTGGCAAAACGTGAAGTGGGCGGCTGACCACTACGCGGTCTCTTGCAGTCAAGTCCTGAACGAGCGAAAAGAGCGCAATTAGGCACACGCTTGGCTGATATACGCAGGACGTGACCAAGCCAGCTTAACTGACACAAACGGTTTTACGGATGGGGTCTGACCGCGCGTGTGTAAGTTCCGGGTAGCTTTTGCTTATCTCCACCATCTCTAGCGTCGACGCGACCTGAGTCTATACCTGAAGGACCGAGTTTACAACGCCGTGGCAAGAGCTGTTCTGCACTACAGTTGTGAGAGTTGGCCTGCTCGTGTACAAGACGTTCACAGGCTCTATTTGATCATCGCTGCCATTACAGCATTGCTAGCGTATGGTGGCAACATTACATTAGCAATGGTGATGTTCGTCGAAGGATTTTCAGACAGATTTTGCCGGCCGCTGAACCGCATAGTTTCACTGCACAGGCTTTGGTGGCTTGAGCAGATGTTTCGTATGCCTACAAAGCATTTGCCTCATCGTGCACTGTTGCGCGCACAGAAATCGGGTGGAAGCGAAGATAAGGTAGCCAGCGAATGCCTTGGGCTAAAATAATGGTGTTGACCTCACATATGGCTGCGATCGGGCGCTCTCGACTGCCTGGTTGGGAACGCAAGAATCGTGAATACATACGCCTAGAAACCCTATCGGACATGTCAAGGAGCCGTGAGCAGTGGCGAAGATGTGAGACTCTAACTCTGTAGCATCCGTTTTATACCCTTTCTCTTTACTATCTGGGATTGTACTTATCAATAAGTTGCAGCACACTGCTGAGTGTACTATTATTCGTGTTCAAGATGTATATATATCGTGAACTGGAAAATGAGGTCACCGCTTCTAACTCGGGGGGGGGGAGTTCACGCAATTACAAAGGACAAAGTTTATAACGGTTGGCCAGAACAGCCACGCTCATCTTTCCGTATTCCGTTGCCCTTCCTAATCAGCTGTACTGTCACATGAATTGTGTGCACCACTAGGTAGTACACAGCCTCATTAGGTACGTATGACGTAGCATAAACTACGAAGGGCAGAGTACATGCGCAATTGGAAAGAGGTTAGGGAACCAATCATGTAAAATACAGTCCAGTTCGATAGGTAACGCAGTTGATGAGTAAACGCAGAATCAATGAATGAGGATAATGTGTAATACGTTCATAATACTTTGGAATGATCAAACGCCAATAACCAGTAGGGCGTTTGCGAATGAAAGCAGAAGCAGAAGGCACAGCAAGAGTATAAGCACAATTCCAATTTTGATGTATGTGTTAGGGCCTCGCGATGCGAGATGACTCGTTACATGACCATTGCGATTTGCGGTACATACGTGGTAAAACAGCTGTGTAAACACCGGACATTGAGTGTCTGAAGTCATTCACAAGTAAACAGGGCGTAAAATAGCTGTTGAAACAAGTGAACAAAGATAATCGACAAAATATACCTTGATTTCCTCATCAGTGGCCAGCTGTGATTCGGTAATGCGCTTCTGGAACAGAGTGATGGGATCACGGAGACGACGCATAGCCTGCACTTCCTCACGTGTCCGATAGCTCGTTCCAGGGTCGCTCATACTATGCCCGTGGTAACGGTACGTCTCCGCCTCCAAGATGATTGGGCCCTTGCCAGACGAACACCAGTCACGGGCAAACCGAACGGCCTCGCGAACGGTGAGGACATCCATGCCATCAACCTGTGATTAAAAATAGGTAACAGTACTGTCACCAAAGGTACGCGTAAACCACATGTGTAAGAACCAGAGCCTGGTAAATGATCAAGGATGCTGACGAAACCAACGTGCAAATCACCTGAGAAGCTGCATCCGAAGATAGGAGGTAAAACGCATGATAAACAGGATATAAAACAGTGCGCGACGTATTGTGAGCACACAAGGTTTACGTATAGGAAACATGCGAACAGATTACAGTGTTATGTGCGTGGCAAGGTGAAATATGTCGATTCGAAGCATATGCGTAAAAAAGGTGTTAAAAGGTGGAAACAATCGAACGCTGAAAATGGGCAAGGAGGATACCGGGATAAATCAATTAAATCAACGTACAAGGAAAGCTCAGACGGTCGCATACCAGAGTTTATCTAGGGCAGTGATCCCCTACAGAGATCCGCCAACCTGCATATGAGCGTAACGTTTAATTTGGGAAGCAGAATGAACAGCGTCAGAAAGAAGAACAAAGACCATCTGGGCAGTGTGATTGCGTCCACGTCGCAAGGGTTTCGCCTGGGTCCTGGGGATGGAAAATCGATGTCTGAGATGCAACATGCGTAAATGATCGCTGATAACGTGTTGCTGAGTGTATGCTGGCCCATCACACTCCTGTAAGACCCAAAGGAATAACTAGACGAAGAGCACTGCAGAGTCAAAGTTGATGGGGCAGAATTAAACTGATCCAAGAGTGACTACAACGATGTGTAACGGGGTGACATCTGCGGCGCAATATCTGGATCGTTACCTCCAACTAACATGTAAAACAGTGATAGTGATGTACAGGGTAACTTAAAAAGACAGATGCGTGGTAAGCTACTAAAAAATGCAGAATTGTAGGCTGAAGGCAAA